GGTCAAGTCCATAGATAGCCCACGTAGTATGTATAGAATGTGCATGAAACACAGATAATCTGAAGGACAGAGATCTGAGTGCAAAGAGGGTACTTCTCAGGAACAAATTAATAGAATGATGTAAAGACAGCTTATCTGGTTACTATTTATATTGCCAACATGCTAGAGAGAAGCATTACAGAAATTGAAATACAAGATATACTGTCTTCAAGTGATGAGTTAATGTTAGTCTTCAAAGGGAAAGAAATCTGTGATAAAATTTCTCACTTCATCTTATGCAGTCTGTTTTCTAAGAGCAATGAAACTGGTGAAGGGACTAGAAAACAAGACTTATGAGGAGCTGCTGAGGAAATTGGGTTTGTTTACTCTGGAGAAGAGAAGGCTGAGGGGAGACTTCATTGCTCTCTATAACTCCCTACCTGAATGGAAGCTGCAGTGAGAAGGGTGTTGATCTCTTTTCTCGAACAAGCAATAGGATGTGAGGAAACAGTTTCAAGTTGCACAACGTGAGGCTTAAATCGGATATTAGGAAAAATTTCTTCATGGAGAAGGAGATCAACCATTGGAACAGGCTGCCCAGGGAAGTGGTGGAGTCCCCATCCCTGAAGGGATTTAGGAGATGTGGGGATGTGGCACTGAGGGACATGGTTTAGTGATGTTACTTGGCAGGTCAGGTTGGTGTTGAACTTGGTGATCTTGAAGGTCTTTTCCAAGCTAGATGATTCTGTGATTCTGTGATTGTATGACTGTAACAAACTAGTGTGCACAGGATACCTGTGCAAAGGATTTTCCAAGTAAAGAACATGAAATAAGATCCTCTGTTAGATTTAATGAATGAGATTTGATTAACTATTTGTATTTATCACTTTTTATGGATATAAAGTGTTCCAAGCATTCCAAGTCAAGCCTTAAGGCCCAACTTTGACTAAACAGAAGAAAACAAAGCTACAATCTAGTTTAATCATTCAGTGTATCTATTACAAAAGTGAGATAAAATGTGACTACTATCCTGTAAAATTGACCTGCCATATATAAGCAACTTAACAAAAAATCCTTTTATGCTGTGACAAATCTTGTAATGTACAGATGTACAGGACAAAATAATTTAATTTGTGTACTTTTTAAAATGCAGTTGTCATCCTGATACTTCCATTAGGAGGTGAGGTGACCTGAAAAGTATCTCTCTAAAAGTTATGTGACTGTGCTGGATATGGAAAGAGTATCTGCTGCATCAGATCCTGAAAGAAAAGCTTTCAGAGAGATGTGAGGCTTAGTTAGCAAAGACGTAGGGACAATTTATCTGTATACAGCAACTTTTAACAAGCAACAGATCTACGGTACAGAGCAGATAAATTACACCTTGACCTCTCAAATGGGGCATTGAACAGGGGGCAATAATAGGTATGTATGAATAGACATCTCTCTGTATGCATGCACAAGGAACCACATTTCTTGCAAAGAACACTTTGAAATTACATAAGATATTACCGATTTCTTTGCTTTAAAGAACTCAGTTCTCATTAACCAACAAATGGCAATGCTCTGCAGTGAAATTATGAGAGAGCTGAAGCAATATATTTTTCTAGTGGTTTAATCTTGATATTTGCCTTGAACAGAAAATAAAATCAATTACAAAGACAGAAATATCTGCATTACGTAGAACATGCCCAGTAGAGAGGTTGGCATCATAGTTCTAAAATTTTCACCTTACATTTGATTTTTTAAATATTACATTAGGCAGATTGGACATAGACCTCAAGTAGCATTTGTGAATATCTTTTAACTTTTGAGTTTTAACAAAATCTAAATGATATTGTAGACAAACATAGTTTCTTCCACCAATAGTATGATAACATGTTTAACATGTTTTTGTATAGGCAGGCTCATTGTGTAGGTTTAGTTGTATTTACGCCAGAAAAAAAAAAAAAAAAAAAAAAAAAAAGTGAAAAAACCCACATCTAATTCTATGCAAGAGTTTCTGTATTGCCTCCTTATGGGGAGGGAGTCCACCACTTTGGTGGTGACCCTGGAGAGTCACCTTGGAGGTAGTTCAGAGATGTGTGGACATTGCATTGAGGGACCTGGTTTAGCAACAGGCCTTGGTAGGTCAGGCTGATGGTTGGATTTGGTGACTTTGAAGGTCTTTTCCAACCTAGATGATTCTATGATTCTGTGATTCTATGGTGTCACCTTAGGCAAAGGAGCACCTCCTTCCATAGCCACAAAATGTACCACTGCTGGAACCAGTGCTCTGGTGCTGTCTTTGGAAGCTGTAATGCAGAAACATGGTTAGAACACAAAGGAAGAAGATTCTGCCCAATATTTATGCAAATATGACAAAGCCCATTTGTACTTATGTATGCATGTAGACATGTATGTATGTTCTGACACGGGGCAGCCACCAGGACCTGGTGGTCAGAAGGACAATATATCCACCTGTGCCTGTCATCCTGTTGTGCCAGGGACTGCATCTCTGAGCAGGTTCAGTGGGAACTCACAGGCTCTGTCTCTTCACAGGAGTCAGACTCAGAAGCCCACGCATGAATATTTAAACAAAAGGCATTAACAAACCTGCCTGGAAATGTAATAAGAATGTCTTTTTGAAGAAAATATGCTTCCAAAATGACAGATAGCCACATTTTTCACCTCTTCAGTACTAAGTGCTCTTAGTGTTAATTTGTGAATTATGGTTTCTAATGAAAATAGTACTTTATGCAGTAAGGTGGTATTATATTTTCTTAATCTATTTTACAGAAGCCCTTTTGTTGTTCAGGCTGTTCTTATTTAAAAGCTAAGGCTTGTTTTGTATTTCACTGCCTGTCGCCAGCTTGCTGACAAAAGTAAAGGCTATGAATTTGTTAGACCCTACTTTATAATATATTCTGTTTATCATCATTTCTTTTTCATTATGGCAGTGTTATTTTCACTGTTGCACTGAAGGTGCTGTCAAAATTTTCATTATAAATATTGTTTCTGAGGGGTTTGTAAGTCTAAGGGTTCTGTATTAAAATTCTGTCTGGCTGAAATTTGGCATGCAAGTCTCAGCAAGGAAATGTTTTCTTTACATGCAGTTTAAATTGGCTTAGTCATCTTTTTTAAAGAAATTTGCATGTCAGTATCAGAAGCCACATATATAGTACAGTCTCATATATTTAAATAACAACAAAACAAACATCAATTTATACAAAATGGTTCTGAATTTCAATAGGTATCAGTCTACTACCACAAAAAGATACAGAAGAAAAATCAGTGATAAAAACCACCTCCTCCATAAATACACTTTGGCAATTTTATGACTTCTAGGTTGCTACTGTAGATTTACAAGGTAATGAGTAAAGATGGTGTGTTCAGGGTTTGACAGAGATGCAATGCAAAAATGTAGAAGTTAGTAATGGAAGAATAGATATATCATCGTACCAGCACAGGACAGGCATTTGTTTTTGAAGGGATTCTGTTGACATAAGCAAGAGCAATCTTTTAGTGACCTCTTATTTCATGAGACATTCAAGATGCCTAGTCAGAGTTTCTCTACATTTTAATTTACAGAGCCTAATTTGTACTGTCATTTCTCTGCTTCCACTGGCTTTTTAGGGATGATACACCTGTCTAATGCTCATTCCTGTTATAATACGTTGTTACAAGCACTTTCCATGGTTTAGTTCACCCACTCACCTCAAGTTCTCATGCTTACTGCTTTTCCTCCTCCACATTTCAATACGCTTACAATGGCAGAACAAATAAATAATGCTCTAAAAGAAATTGATAGAAGCAACATTTTTAATTAAAAAGGTGCAAAATATGACAAAATAAGTGTAGGATGTGCATCAGACCATACTCAGAATAGCTGTGCTACACAAATGAGGAATCACAGATGTTTCCTGTGCCTTGATTCCTGGCACTGTACAGTTTTCTTAAAATCATTATGGCACAGGAAGAGGGTTGAACAGAGGTGATTTTTTCCCCCAGTCAGTTTTATGCCTCCCCTGCCCCTCACTGAGCCCCAAGATGAAGCTGTATGGGCACCTGCCTGCAGTAAAAGCTCTGTCTGCATTCAGGCTGGTATACTAAATATAGACTAGCGAGGATCCATCCGGAGCTGCACTGTGCCATAGACTTCTGAGAAAACACAGCAGGAAAGTTTTCTAAACATGTATTTACAGGCTTTGTTTCAAAGCGAATAAGTAGTTGAAATTCAGTGGAGTAATGGTTTACTTAGCCCTCTCCTGTCCCTTGGTGCCACTCACTGCCATATGCCTATGGCACAGAGTAACCTGCCCGTTTGAGCGACGCACACTGTGGGTTTCCTCTGATGTGTGCTCTGCCAAAGCTGTGCTCCCCATTGCCTTCCAGAGACCTCCAGAAATTGTCGTAAACTTCTTTGTGAAGGTTTGACAGTTTCAAGATTTTTTTTTCCTTTCTTTTCTTTTTAATAATGATTACAACTCCTGTAACTGTCTTTGGAGACTTAGAAGTTTCCGTGGCTTGGAGCATATGCAATATCTTGCCTGATTAATATCAGTATAGATATCTGTATGTACGTGTGTGCCTAATTTTAAAAGAAAAAGATGCTTCATTAAGGGAAAAGTCCCTGGTGATTGATGTAAGAGATGTTATGTTTGTTGACAGCAGTAGAGGGGAATATAACAGCGATATATAGCAGGGTTGAGACTATCACCTCTCTCTGTGGTCCACCCCTCTTGCATTCCTCTAGCCTCCAGAAAAGCGCAGTAGCTAGAGTACAGAACAGTACAGTAACAAATCCAGAAGCACCCACCAGGGGGCCAGATCCTGCTCTGGGCTTGTGTGCTCGCTGAAGCAGACCCAGAAAGCTTCGTAGTGACAGCAGTGCTGCGGGAAGACACTGGGCTCCGTTTTAAAATCCCCAGGTGAAATACCTACAACAGGTCCCAGGTCCTTCAGTCAAGTAATAATTCACAGGGTTTGAAGAAGAGTGTCTAAGATAATCCTTCAGGCAAAACAAACAGCAAAGGTGCAAAAAGGCTTGTTTGATGAATATTTATTACAGGGGAAATAGTTCTGCACAATGACCCGATATTATAAAAGTGCGTTTGCTTCAAGTACGTCCACAAAGCACGATACTTCAGGGAGATCCACAGGTGAGGCTTAATCTTCCTCTAGAACCACTCTGTGAAATGACGGATAGCTTAATTCATTCCCCACTACATGTTCCAAAGTTCAAAAAAAATGCTCAGTCATATACACCATCACAAGGTAAGCTACTGTGAACTACCTTATGGACTAGGTAATAATAGACCATTGCAGAGTCTTTCAAATTCCTTCTTCAAAAGCCTTTCTATATTAATATATTTTACAAAACCGAAATTCTTTCACTTTTAGAAACTACATTGTAGTACTCAGTCTCACTGAAAAAAAAAAATGGGAGTATAAGTAGAATTGAAACGTTGCCTTTTGAATAGTAATGTATTTAATCTTTTAAAGATATTGCACGCAAGAATATACGTAAGAAGAAAAAAAAATAAAAGAGAGAGAGCAAATGTGCAAGTCTAGCTGTAAAATTCAGGTGGATAAACACACAGTTACAGTTACTTCTCTGCAAAATATGGCAGACTCAAGGCGATGATAACCATGTCAGTATAGCACTTCTATGAGTCAATTTTTAAATTTTCCTTTCCAAGAGAGGAATGAGAAAAAAAATAAAAAATATATCAGATAAATTTTGTGGGTTCATCTCTAGGAATGAGATTCTGTTGATATGTGTATCTAAATCTAAAGACATTTCTATAACTTTAGTCCTGCAGTGGTTGAAAATCTTCAAATTTTGAGTTCCACTTAATTTTTTATCCTTTTGTTTTATTCCTGTGCCAACACGTTCTTTAAGTTAAACAGCTCTTCTTGCTCCCCAGTGTTAAACTCCATGCTGCATTCAGGAAGGTAGTCGTGTCCTTCTCAGCCTTTCAACAATGGTAAATTGTTCTGTTCGGCTAACCGTGGGCATGCTTTGAACACAAGTACAATGAACTCATCCCTTCTTTCCAAGCATTAGCTTAAATGTTGGCTTTCTGCCACTTGTCACTCAAAAATCAAAACAAGAGCAGTTGAAATCACACAAATTTCTCTCTTGTTGTTCAGCTTGTTTTTCCTGTCCCTCTGGTGACCGGGGCTAAACAGTAACTCCTGAGACAGACGAGAAGGACTGCAGTACACAGGGAAAAAAATGACCAAATTTAACATTCACTTTTACTTGTGTCAACCTTGGTAACCCCATGGGCTGTTATGAAAAATATTTTCCCTTTTTCTACTACTGATTATAGTAGAACACCACCCAAAGACTAATTCTTTTTATCGTTGTCCACAGTTTCCGGCGGGAGGCCAAGACCTCCATTTGGATGTTCCTTTGAGAAAATATCTGAGTGATGTCCAACGTGCTTCGGCAGTGGAAGGTCCAGAAGAGGGGGCAGGGAGCATCATATCTTGCTCATTTAGCCTACTGCAAGACCGACATCAATAACTCTGATTCTTTGTCCAGATTGCTGTTTCCTTCTTATGACACTTCATGGAGGTTGCATTACTCATCCCCACAAAGACACAGGTGCAGAGGGTTCAGTGCCAGGGAGTTCAGTACTGTGCAATAAAATCAAGGCAAGGCAACTAATCAATTTTGGATGAAACACTTCAACCCCTCCAAGAAAAATAAAACCCGGAGTTAATTTACTAAGTTGTCATCACCATCAATTATACATACAGCATGTTTAATATTAATTGCCGCTGTGAATATACTAGGCTTCTTTTCTTTATAGAGCAATATATAAAAATATAAAATCTGTGTACAGATGCTCTATGTCTTTAGTTGACCAGAAATCACGGATCCAGATCCTTAAGCTGGAAGTTGGAAATTCAAATCCAAAAGAAATATTTCCCATGCTCCGTTGCTCGGGGCTGTTAGAGTGATGCCTTCATAGCGCAAGCCAAAGCTTGAGTTCAGGTCCAGGCTTTTGGCTTGAGACCATCTCTTAAAAGTAAAAATGAAGCGACCCCAAAATATACAACCTCTGTTTCTGCCGTATGAGTTAAAGCAGGAGAAAATCCTTCCCTGATGACCCTGACCCAGAATAAGTGCGTGCCTGCTTAAAACACTGCTTTGCCATTTAGGAAAATTTATGGCAACGTAAGTACTGAACATTTGGTCACAGCACTTTCACTCTTGGTTTGCCTAATGAGTCTGCAATCATCATCTTTTTGTGGAGGACTTTCATACCAATTTGATGTTCCCGGGAGGAGAACCCCACAGCACAGGGGGCTGATGGCAGCCTGAGAGCATCAGCCAAGTGGGGGGCTGCAGCTGGGTCTCAGTGCAGCACTGGGACCCTCTGGAAGGGGAAGGGGGCTGTCACCACTACCACTCACACTTACAACTGCATATCGTCAAACTGACTCTAATTTTTAATTCTGGAAAATGTGTAAGTTCAGTGATAAATATATCCAGTTTCAAGTACACATACATATGCAATTGGGCAGGGAAGAAAAAAAAAAAAAAAAGAATATTTAAAGTGGGAAGTTGCAGAGATGATGTGGGTGTCTCGCTTGCTCTTTGAGGGTCTTGACTGCCCTGAACTGCTGCAAATGTATTCCAAACACTTGGAAAACAAAACAGCATAAACTTGTTGAAAGAACATTCTGTAGAAAGGTGACCTCAAAAGTAAACCATTGCCACAGGCAAAAGCATGAGCTCCTCGGAGACAGGGGGCTAATCCTTCTCTCTCTTTGGGTGGTTTTTCACCAAAGCATCTCTGCATATCCTACTGGCGTTGTGATTTACACCAGAGGAGGACAGCATCCCTCGCTAAGAAGGATGTTTATAAAGCAGGGAAGCTGTATCTCTGCTCTGGGTGCCATTTCTAGCAGCAGGGAGGAAGCACAGGCTGCGAAGGGAGCGCACCGGTGCTGCAGCACAGAGGCACTGGGAAGGCTGCAATGTGCGTATCAAGTAGGGAGAAATAATGCCAATGGCACCTCTCTGCCACTAATTTTTACAGAAAAGCAGTTGAGTCTTCAGCCTGAACTGCAGTTTCCTCTAGCCCTCGATAGTGGAGAATTTGACATTAAAATTTTGTTATGAAAGCACTCTTTGAAATGAGGGCTGGAAGAAATGATTTTTATTTTTCTTTTTTTAAACCTAGATTTAATGTCTTTAAAACTTCTTTTCATTAAATATCTTTTGGCCATATGCACTTCCACAGCACTGTAACAGTGCTCATCAATATGCTAGGATATTATTCTTATATTGTAAAGTGCAACACAAATCTGACTCTTTTTATGAAATTTGTTCAACACAAGCTCCTTAGAGAAACCAAAGCAAATTTGTCAAAATGTTTCATGGCTGCCGAATTTGATTACTTCCCCCTTCCCCCAAAAAATCTTCTGTCAAAGAAATATCACCCAGCTGTCAACAGATGTCCAATTTTATGCAGGAAAGGAAGAACCCAGGCTGAGAAAAGGCATATCCAAATTCACATCAGCTTGAATCTTAGAGGAAGTAGAAGGAAAAGGAAAAAATATATATTCAAATCATTTTTATAATTGCATGAAGAGTGGCTGCAGTCTGCACAGTCTGTAAGGCATAGGATGGGTGTGGGTCAGGGGTTCAGTTTGCATTTCCTCCTCCCTGGCCAGCCACAGGATATTATCCAGCAATATCCAAACCCTGTCCATTATTTAGAGCATATCCTCAGAAAAAGCCTCGTAAATGAAAATGCAATGCACGTTACATTTCACTGGGTTCTCCTGAAGATGCGTCAGAGTAAAACTTAAGATCTACTGGGTTAAAGGCTAGAAATTTGGAGGATAAGCCATCAGCTTTAAGTAGCTATTTTTAAAGAAAACCAAGGCCTCTAAAACATTGGTTCAGCTCCTTGTGCAAGCAAAGCAAAGAGAGAGACAACAGCTGAGAGAGTGCCAAACCCTTAATTGGGATGTACAACACCCCTGTGAAGAAGGTGTTGTTATCCCTGTTTTTACAGACAGGGAATTGTTTTAGGTGTGACTTCTTTCATTTGCTCAAAACATTAATTTCCAGAAGAAAATCAGAATGAGCTGCTGTGAATCCCCTGCTAGAGGGCAAAACAAATAAATGCCTCTGAGAAGACACCTTCTAGGAAAAGCACTGCACTGGACATTTCTGCAGAGGTGACTTCCTCAGTGGCACCAATATATCCTGAGCACCCCAATGGTGAAGGTGAGGAAGGTAGCCAGCATATTAGTAATTTACAGCCTTTTCTTTCTATTTATGTCCTGTAATATCCTGACCTAGACCAGTCTGTGCCCCTAAAGGTTTGTCTTTTGGGGGCATTTGTCATGAGGTTGAAGGATTTTGATACACCAAAAAGAAAATAATTAAAAAAAAAAAAAGCACTGCTTATGTGAAAAGTAATCCAGAAGGCATACTGGGCTGATGGAAGATGAAAACCAGATTAATCCAATTTACTATGATAAATGTAGGGCTTGGATTAATTGTTAATAGGGAACTAAGCTGAAAATTAGTTGTGAGCTCTTGAGATCACCACATCTAATACATTTTTGACAGGCATTACCACAGTGGTGTCCTGACCCCCTGCCAGAGCCAGAAGAGCATTCAGTATTAAAAACGTAAATGTTTTTTAAAAAAAATTAAAAAAAAAAAAACAACTAGAATGAGGCTCAGGGAAGGAACATTTTACCCAGACACAGAGTGGTCCATCCCTCACTCCATGGCACACCCATTTCAAAGGCTTCCCCCTCTGCCCCCACAGTGGCCACAAAGGCAGACATCTACATAGCCACATGCTGCCTCATGGTTCCCTAAGGAAAAGCAAAAACCATGTGCTTTTCTAATCTTGCCTTATCAGATATTCTCCATTTTACATATTTACTCATTACTTTTAATCAAAACAACTTCCTGCCACTGCCAAGCTTACCAGATAGAAGCTTCTGTCCCCGCTCCTTCTTGGTTTTGTTACGTAAGGTTTTCCTAGATATTCTTGCTTTTATTTCTGTGTACTAGAGTTAATTATTGAGACCAAATTGTCATCAGTGAAGTATGTTTGTTATTGCATTTTTCTCTTTCCTAATGACTAATGGGAAGATGCTGTGATTCTCAATATGTGTTGTGTTGGTATTTTTTTGTTTGTTTGGTTGGTTGGTTGGTTTGGTTTGGTTTGTTTTTTTTTTCATTTACTACTATTATTTGTGTCAGCTTTGTTATTTTAAAACTTTAACTACAAGACTGACACAATTACCACTTTTGTGTCCTCACAGCAAGTGGAGCAAAATATTTCACAACAGCCAGGGAGCTATCATATGATCAATCACACTGTGTCCTTTCCCTTGAAGCCTAATTGCATCTTACCAGCAGGATCCTCCCTCCTCATTGATTACCTTCCTCCCTTTATTTCTTACTGATTTATTTCTTGTATTCTCAGCTGTAATTAACAGGGATATCTGTTCTTTCTTTCTTTCCTTTTTTTTTTTTTTTTTTTTTTTTTTTTTTTCTTCAGACATTTAGGCACCATGAGGATGATGAATAAAAGTTAAAATGATCCTTTCAAAGAGAACATACTTCTTTTAGGGTGTGTGAGAGGAGGTTACGATGCTCTGTGTCACACAAAGCCGCAAGAAGCAGTTGGAGGCACGTGATGCTGAGAAAAGTTGTTTTTTGCTGCATCTCTGTATAGAGCCTAGCGCTTGTACTGCTGTTTTACAAGCTCCTTCTTTAAATGCACAAGAACTGAACTACATCAGAGCTTGATTAAATCCACAAATCCAGATAGCAAACATAAGAGATACTTACATTCTAATGAAGACCTACTTGAAGTTACAGAACAGAAATAAGCCTTTTAACAGGGCAGGTAAGAGCATTGCATAACTTGATTGTCAACTGTCAAGACCCCGAAGTCCTTTGCCTCAGGGTTTATAACATCTCCCAGGTTTATAACATCTCCTAGGTTAAATATAACTTGCCATAATTTATACTCCATTATTAACCTTTCTTTTTCATACTCACTTTCTCTGCTTACACAACGGCCATATACAACCAGAGCAGCAGTCCGATACAAAGGAGAACTATTTTGGAAAACATCTCACCCTCCTGAAGAAAATCTCAAAGCAGATTTAGAAAGCACATCCTAATTTGTTACAAAAACATCATCACTGTTGGCATGGATACTAATATTTGGATAATAATTACTTTTCTTTCTGACTATACTGGCACTGAAATACTGTATCTTCAATAGCAACCTTATCTGTTGAAAACTTCCAAGCCTTTGAGAAAAAAAAAAAAAAAAAAAAGAGAGAGAGAGAAAAGAAAAAAAAAGAAGAAGAAGAAAAAAAAAAAAAAGAAAAAAGAAAAAAGAAAAAAGAAGGAAAAAAAAAAAAGCCAAAGAGGGTAAATTAGAAGGTTCAGGGAGTAGCAGAATCCATCTTAAAATAGGACAACAAGTGGAGAAGGAACAGGAGGGGCAGTTTGGCAGACTCTGATAGAGTGAGTAGTCACGAAAAGGAGCTAATGGGGTTTGCATTATGTATAGGATGCTCAGGCAGACAGCTGTTTTAGACTAAATTTGTTTCCATAAAATCCCAACCGAACCACATCATGCAGATGACTGAGCGAAAACTGCAGCATGCCATCATTCAGTCACTAACTTTGCAAGCCCTTACTGCTCTGATTAGCTGCAGTGAAGGCAAACTGCTTGGACTGTTCATACTCAACAGTATCTCGAGATACCTGTGTAATTGTTCAGTTCATCCCGAGTTGCATTGTTCGTGGTTTTACTCATGTAATGCATAATTTGACAACTTTTTCTTTTGTTCTTATGTAAAAGGCATCACAGGAGAACAGCTCCTGCAATCAGTCACCATCCCATTGATTTAACTCCTAACAAGATCAGAACTAAACGTATTTTCAAATACATTCTTGCTATTGAAGTCATGTCAACGAAACAGAAAACAAATAAGTGTTTTCAGGGGTGCCTTCTCTAGCTGGTTATGATGTGTCGCATCACCTCCCTGCTCTTTTTGTTCTCTGAGCAACACTTTCTGTCTTGGTCTTTCAGAAACAAAGGACAGTATGATTCATTGTATAGCAGAGACAAAAGCTTTCCAGTTTTGTCATGAGACCCCTCAGTGTGCATTCAGACCTCCTGAAACAACCTCCAGGTGCTGCATGTGTCTTGCCTGAAGGGAAAGAACTTGTTTCACCATGTACAAATACTGGGTAAGAACCAAAACAGGGAAGAGAAGCAAAGATGAAGCTGGATTTCCCAGAGTGGCAGTCAAAAGAAAGCCTGAGAAGCAAAAATGCCCTTGCTGATTCCAGAAAACAGTCCCACATTTATAAAGATCCTGCCAATATGGATCTGTCCTTTCAATCTGGCGTGGTCAGGAAGGCGCAACCCTTTCCTCTTGATAAACCTTTCACTTCTTCTGTTTTGCAAGACAATGAATACGGACATTATCTACAATTTGACAGCTTTACAGGTGTAAGACTCTTGATATTGCTCTGTGCTGCCAATCTCTTTATGACCTGGCACAATGGACCTGCAATGTCCGTGACAACAGTCCGGATGGTTGATCTACCAGCACTAAATTAACTGTACAATATCAGCAATCAGAAGTGATAGACTTTAATTAAAGGTCCGGTAGCAATAGCAAGTTGGTGACTGGCCACAGGCTGCTCTGCAGTTTGGCCAGGAGGGCTGATTGTCTATAAAAATAATTGAGCAATCTTCGGCTGCACTCTTCCCCTGCTCTGATCTGCTGTTGCCATTGGCACAGCCACACACAACCACCCTCTGCTATCAGCTCTGCTCTGCCATTGCAAGCACCGGATTGCAATCCAAATCCTCTTCTCAGGATGGGAAGATGCTGTAAAGCACAAGTTCCAGGTGCTAGGCGCCGCGTGCACAAGGCATTTGGCAAAGGATGTTGATGATCTTAAACCATCAGTTGGTAAGCAGAGCAATACCATGATGCTTCTGACTAAAGATGTTTTAATTACAAAACAAAAGTTGAGATAATAGACAAGCTGGCACTATTGGACTATGGAAAAACAAACAAACAAACAAACAACAACAACAAAAAAGTCAGGTTACACGTCTACCGAAGTTCCCAGTGTTACTCATCTGATATCCATTTGATCCTCTATTTCTTGTCATTAGCTTTCCCTGCTTAAGAAAAAAGAGGCAAAAAAATGCACCATCTTTACAATTCTGCCTCTTTGTACCTCTGTGTGTGACAGGAAATGGATTCTAAAGAGCTGCCAAGAAAACTGCATAAATGACATTCAGAAGTACTTCTGTAAAATTCTGATTACACTTTACATCTGGCGAAAAGACACGAAGACTTCTCTGATATCAGAACAATCCATCAGCTTTCCCTCTGCATAATTATTCCTTGCAAAAGTCATGCTTGAGGAGGAACACTGGAAGATGCCCTTATGTTCTCATAAACTCCAGTTGTTGGTATTAATATTGCTAAGAACTATCTGCAAGAGATCCTGGTTACCATGAAATTATTTGCAAGACCTAACTGACTCTAGTAAGGACATGATTTCCATTAATATCATACATCCGTTTTTACATGAGATCATTTCGATTTCACTTTCTCCTGCTCTTATAATGTGCTGTCCACTAAAAATGAAGTCTAGCAACACCACATTCACATTCAGCTTAGAGTTCACCATTATCTGCCAGGATGTACTTTCCAAAAGGAAAACGAGACCTGTCCAGAAACTGCACTTTCAGAGTGAGCTAAGTATTTGCCCACTTACCAGAACTCCCATCCCATCTCAGTGGCTACTGAAATGTAAAACTTGTTCCATTCATGTTAGCTGTAGCTCTGCGCCAGGCAGAGGGACAGGCTAAAAACAGTACCTTGGGGCTCTGCAGAGAGTGAGGCACCCACTGCCCTGATTTGCTCCCTGTGTGTAAGCTCTGGTCACAGCCCAGGTTCATGAATGCATCTTGGCTCAGCACTCATCTCAGGCTGGGAGCAGAGCCCAAAGGCATGTCATCTCCATGCCGTGTCCTACCTGAACATGAAAGATAATTTGTAAATTGAATGCACTTGAATGCAAGGATGTTCTTTCTACATTTCAGGTCTGTAACCTCAGCCACAGGAGACATAGATTTTTTTATTTATTTTATTTTTCATGTTCTAACAAGAGTCTTCAGTGCTTTCAGACCAGCATGATCTTCACTTTATGTTGTAAAACTCTTGATTTTATAGTGGTGTGACCAACAGATCTTTAATGCATCGTCCAACTGAGGGCTCTGTATGACTCTGTAGTTTCTTCTTTCCCATGCTTTGATTGGAGAGATTCTTCTAGGATGAAAGATCACTGTTGTCAGTAATGCTGGAGCCTACTTGCCCATAGCAGAGAGGTGGTGCAACAGAAGTTTTCTTTCAGAGTTGAGTTTTCATGTTCTAGTTACACCCACCCTCATACATTTTACACAAGCACATATACATGTGTTTTTAAATACATAAAATGATACATAAAATGGCCTACATGTGTCTCTAGCAAGCAGGAAGAAATGACAGGCAGATATATCAGGCAGACCAGTTGCCCCTTCAGTTCTTCATAGGAACATAATTCAATTACAGGAGTGCTTCCCCTTCTGGTTTTCAGTGAATACTTCCCATTGCCACTGCTCGCTGCAAGGAAGCTCATCAGCTCTTCATTATTTAAAGACCTCTGCCCCTCATCCCTCGAGCTGCCACTGCTCCACAGATGTAGGGTAGAATCCTTAGTCAACCTCCAACATAACAATAAGTTTAAAATATTAAAAACTGGCAAGAGCTACCAGACCATGGAGGCCCCTTCTTGTTGGCTGGTGGAAGAAATGTACTTTCTAGGTTTTCTGGGAAACAGCAAATTTCTTAGCTTTTTCTTCAATTAAAAAAAAAAATAAAATAAAACTTCACTTTTCCTATTTGGAAAATATGCTACACTTTAATACAGTTTTGTGGAATAATAATAATAAAAAATAAATAAATAACTTATTTATTATATTTATATAATATATTGTATTAATAATAATTGTTAAAATTAACAATAATTACTATTATTTCTATATAATATTAATAATTATTATTATTTAATCCCACTCCTACTTATTTAAACATGTTATGATAT